CAATTACCCCCTCAGCCTCCCGAATGATCCAAAGTTCATCCAGCTCCAGCTCCAGTTCCCTAACGAGGTTACCGAGGAGCTGGAGTTGGGTGCACTTCCCGCAGATGAAGTCAGTGGGGACACTAGTGGTGACCCTTACCTCCCACATTCTACAGGAGGAGCATACAACTGCCCTAACATCCATTCCCACTGTTCTGAATTCCCAAACAGACTATTGAAAAAAAAACTAGTAACCTTACCAAATCAGCGCTCAGAACCTTTTTCTTTGGTTAGAGGAGGAGGATGGTTGGGAGACACTACCTGGGTAGTGTTTCGACTAAAGCAACCGCCCAAATATATTACCTCACTTACTCACTCCAAAAATGGAGTCACGTGAGGTAAGACTTTTATAATCGAAAAGCTTACCTTCCCAGGTTGCCCTCGCGCTTCCTCCCGGACTCCCGCCACTGAAACAATTCTTAACATTCTATCCCATTTTCAGACCTGTCACCCATCTTTGTGCAATTAATTTTGATGAGATTTACAAGAATCTTGTCAGGGTTTGTAAGAGTGGCCCACGTTTGAAAGACACAAAATGTTCGACAAGGATGAAAACAAAATGGGACCGCCTGCTCTAACATTTAAGTGGAACATAATGGTACTTTGAACAGGACTACTCCAAGGTTAACATGGGGCCCTACAAACAACCATCCAAGACAGTTTGTTAAGAGGATGCCTAAGGATAGACAAGTGATTGCTGCCATGCTCATTAATGAAAGGATGTTGTCCCATTAAGTGAATAGCACCAGTTAGAACAAGGGGTGTAAATCCCAATCCATGAACCAGTCAGATTAACTCCCTATGCAGCTAGAAACAACAGGTAAAATTATTTTGTAGTAATTGGTTGCTTCTTTGAAGTTACTCACAATATTAAGAAATAGGCTCTAGCTAAAGATTCTTCAGATATTCAGAGGGATAGATTTTAACATAAGGATAGATACACGTATAAACAAAAGTATGATAGAAGCATTAGGGGAAAATACTTAAACACAAAGTTAAATAGCCTCAGGAAATGCTTTCTCTTATCTGTAAAAATGATACTCGGTACACCCTGAATGAAATAGAATGGTCACAACTTAATTACAAGGTGATAACAGGAGAAGTAGTTGTATAACTTCACACTTTATAACTAACTTCATAATGGAAATTAATACTATGAATCTTATAGCAGTTAGTTAAAAACCAATTATCTTTTGTATTTTTATGTACGTGATTGGGACAATGGAAAATACAAGAGGAATAACTGAATTTGATAAATGTAGCACATGGAAAACAATGAATAACAGAATTCAAGCAGTCCTTAGAGATAAGCAAGTCTGAGACAGACCAGAAGGATTATAACCAGTAACTTTGGAATGCTAATTAGCAGGTTGTATAGAAAGATCCCAAGACTTGGAAATTAACAATGTCTGTTAAACACCATGAGATCATGGGAACCTGAGGCCATCCGTAGGAATGTGCATCATTGATTAGGTGTTTCACAGGATTGGGTGTATGGAATCAGGAAGAAGGACACATTGACCACATTGTATTTGAGTATTGTAACACAAAATGTATAAAAATGCTGTGTTTCACTGTAAAAATCAGAGCGTGTCATTGATCTCTCTTCTGGCCTGAGTCAACGATTAAAGGAATAATTGTGTTCTCACGTCGAGGTCAGATTCCAGGAAGATCCTTTGGCATTAACGAGTTCTTGCTTGAATAAAAGTCCACCATTTGTCTGAATCCTGCCTGCTTCCTGAGTCAATGGGCTGAATGGCCTCTTTTGTGTCTTAACTTCTCTATGGTTGCATTTATGTCCAGCACTCCAGATAGCAGCAGTATCCACATTCAAACCAGTCTTTGGATAAAAATGTTTCTCCATTGGATTTCTTGGTGTCTCCTATATTTACAGTTCCTAGTTTTGGTCGCTCTTTGTCTACTCTATCAAACCATAAATTGTGTCTCAGGTCAACTTTCAGTCTTCTCTGTTCTCAAAGTGAGAACACTTGCATCTTTGATATTTCCTGTTAGGTAGACCTTCTAAGTTCTAAACAATTTCTGCATCTACTGTATTATATCTAGCTGTGATTTATATCAAGAGATGGGAATTCTGCATAACACTCAAAGTGTAGGTGAATGCCAGAATTACATTTTTAAACAGATTATTTCCTCTTTGATTCTGCTCATCCAAAAATGGGATCCAATGTGTGGTTTGCATTTCTCCTGCCAACACACTTGAACCAGATGTGAGCGCCATTGACATCATCATTGTCCACCCAATTTTCCCTCTCACTCACCATCCTAATCAGACTCTCAACGCTGCTCCCCTTGACTCCACTCAATGCTCCACTTAACTCTGTGGACCACACTTCTCTCCCCTTGCAACTCCTCTTGGCCATCCACTCCCTCAACGACTCCCCTCAGCACTTTGAGTTACTCCCCTTTGTTCTCATCAGATCTTCACATTACCTCCCTCTCCTTTCCACTCCCTTCTCCTCTTCCCTCACCTCTCTATATTTCTCCCCATATCTCTAATCTCTCCTCACATCTCCTCTTGGTTCTCCGCTGTACTCACTGCTCCCCTCACCTCTCTGGACTTCTCCCTGACCTCTTTGTTGTCATCAGTACTCCTCTTACCTGGATCTCCACACAGTTCACTGCTCCCCTCACGTCTCCACATTACTTTCCTCATTGCTGTTCACTCTCCCCTCACCTATTCACATTGATCCCCTCGCCTCTCCATTCCCCTCACTTTGGATCTCTACACACCTCACTGTTCTCCTAAACTCTGCACTTTCCATGACCTAAGCTTTCTGCTGCTCTCAATGTTCCCTTAGTTTCTCGACCCCCCTTGCTGCTCCCCTCATCTCTCCAGTCCCCCCGCTGTTCCCCCCTGCTCCCTTACTGTTCCCCTTGCCGTTCCCCCCCCTGGTCTGCTCCCCTCCTTGTTCCCCTCATCTCTCTGCTCCCCCACTGTTCCCCTCATCTCTCTG